TTTGGTGAATCCTGTCACCCTCTAGCTTGTACCCCAGTTCCCCCCCCACACACACACACACAGAAAAAAAGAAAATATGTTGTCATTTAGAAAAGGAAGAAAAGGGTGGGGTAAGAGAGCGGATGGTAGGGTCTAGGTGAGTGGGTGGGGAATGCGCCACAGTGGTAATACCTGATGGGGACACCCCAATGTTACCTCACCAGTTACTTTAAAAATGAATAACCATGGTGAGTCCTGGGTCTTAGTGCTGCGCAGGGTCTGGGGCTGTGGTTGCAGCTCCGGACACACACACTCACACGTACTCAAACACACATTCTGTCACACACTCACACACACACACACACTCTCACATACACACTCTTACACGCACACTTGCTCACACATACACATACACTCACATACTCTCACATACATTCACACAGACACTCACACACGCACACACAGTGGGTGCTTATGTCCTTCCTGAGAGTCTTCCTGCGAGTGCACATGCCCTGCTAATATGCTGGACTGCAGGAAGTTGTAGCTGTGTTGCAGTGGATAATTTCAGGCGTAGCGCCTAGGGGCCTAGGAGACATTGCCTGCAGCTAATGGCCTTCAACACACATTCTATTGAAGTTCCTCACTGAGAATTCAAGTGATTTTTGCTTTATAGGCTTGTGTCGATTTCAATATAAAAATAGTTTTACCCAGTATATTCAATTACCACATCCAGTTACATGATATGAATTATTGTACTACTTTTTAAGGTTCGATGTTATTAGCCATAGTATATATTATTGTAATCTAACTCTGCCATCTTAAGAAGCATTGCCTTCACGCAGAAGGAGAAAAAAACATGAATATTCTACCAAGCAGTGTGAACATTGGGAAGGGAACTTTCAACAAATCTTCAAATAAAAATTCATAGAAAAGTAAATAAAAATAAAAAAGGAAAACACTTCCACAGTGCAGATATTTTGACGAGATGAATAATTGAACAAATGCATATTTAATAATTCAGTAAATGACTTATTTTTTAATATATGCTTAGTTGTTATTTTTCACCACTCTTCACCTCCTCTCCAGGTCTGGTGCTGACTGAATGCAAAACAGGGCCCAGCTTTTCCCATAACTCACTCAGACCGCAGGCCACCTTTGCTGCTCATGTCCGCTGTCTTAGGACTATTGATTCCTCCATTTCATCGTTCAGTTTCTGCTCACGCTCCTTCCTCCCTTCCTGCCTTTTCTACTTCTGAATTTCAGGAGCTCTGTAAGCAGGTCTCCTCTCCCTGTAACCCCAGCCTGTGTATTTGTTTGCCAGCAGACCCTCGTCTGCCTTCTCCTCGTCTTGCAGAGATCGCAGGCTGGGTCCTTGCTGTACATTGCTCCTGTTTGCTTGTGAACGACTTCATTTTGAACCCCTGGTTGGGGCTGGATGGCTTAACTTTGGGCCTGTGGTCTCCGGTACTTCTTGGCTCCACCTGCACGGGGCGACTCCACGTGGGAGCGGGGTTCTCCGGTGTGTGTCCGGGGCCTGGTGAGTCTCCAGTCCTCGAAGGTCAGAATTCTCTGCCTGCATCTCCCTGTCACTTGGTCCAGTTTTGACTTGGCAGCTATTCTTAAGATCCCAGCTTTGGGGCATCTCTAGTTTACTCAGACGATGTTCCTTTGATGTTTTCATCCTCTGTTATTTTTCTACACTCATTGAAGAGCACATACATTAATGTGGATGTTTTGCAGCAGTCCTGAACTTGTCTGCTACCTTTAATGCTCTTTTAGTGTCTGCGCTTCACACCCTGTTCATTTAAAAGCACGGAGAACGGGAGGTTTTGTTGCTTCAGCTGCTGGCTGCCCTGGGCTTGGAAGCTACTTCACAAGCACTTTGAAAAGGCCCCTCTGGTCCCAGATGAAGCAGCCCCCCACCTTTTAATTCTCTCGCCCTTTGTGTCTTTAATACCAAGCCAGTTGTATGGCTAGTAATGTATGGATTTCCTATCTGTCCTTCTTCTCTTTTCTCCATTTTTACCTGGAATTCTCCTTTCTTACCTAGAAAACATTCACGTATCCTTCAAAGGCCAGCTCAGATGGTGCTTGGCTGTAAAGCCTTTTCACTCTTTGGGGACAGAATTGGTCTCCCTCTCTTTTATGCTGTCTCTTTACTTCATACAAGTTGTGATCATTCCCGTGTTTGCTCACCTATTTTTTTCTTGACTATTGAAATTGACACCCTGTCCATTTTTATAGCCTCACTACTTGGCACAGAGCCTGGTACTTCATAGGGCCTTGGCTAATAATTATCTTTCAGGTATATGTCAACATGCATATGAGATTCAAGCCTGATCAATAGTGATCAAGGGAGGAGGGAGGGGAAGGAGAGGAGGGAGGAGGAGAAGACGATAGGAGAGAGTATTAAATAAGCAGGACTTGAGTTTTTATCTTTGTTGTTTCACTTTGCTGCCTTTGAATGAAATGTAAATACATGCGAAAAAATACCTAAACATAGCAAAATCAAATCAAAATAGTCTACAGGCTATTAAAAAAGTCAAGTAACAAGGAAAGATGTGAGGAGAACTCTCAATCCTGGAGTTACTTGAACGCTAGTGAGAGTTTACAGCCTGAGCACACAGGTCATTTCCAAGATCTAGCGCCTGTAGAGAAGAAACAAACAGACTGCGAGAAAACCACAAGTCTTTTAGGTGCGGTGAGAAGAATAAGTGAACTTTTGCACAATCCTCCGTTTTCAGGTTGAGGAAGATTATCTGCTCCTGGGACTCAACCTCCATTTTTAAAATAACGACTTGTGTTGCTGATTTCACGATATTTCTTCTCTCCTGAGCTAAGTTCTATAAAACTTTTTATGCCCATTTGCAGCCATAATGGATGATGTGCCTGTCTCCCTAGTATAATTTAGTGGTTTGTTATAGTGAAAGGTGAAATACAGAGTGAGGATTGAAATACTCCATATGTCTTTAAAATTCCACAAATCCAGGAGTGTGGGAGACATTCAGCACAGACACTCAACATGACTAATCCTTCGAAAACACCCTGAAATCGATCGTCCTTCCCCACTGGCCAAATGCAACCCCTTGGGGCTTTAACAGAGCCATCTGGAATTTGTCAGGTTTAATATTAGTGCTTTGCCTTTACAGAAAGGCAGCAAAAGCTCTGCTTCTCGAGCCCGCTGCCTGAGACATTTAGATGTCCAATGGCTGGGATTTTTCTTTGTTCCTCTAGTTCTATGAAAACTAAATTGTGAACGATCCAGACATGTTTTTGCTTACTTTTCACCAGAAAACACCAGGTGTGAAGATGTTTCCTTGCTTTTGACTCTTATTTTTTCATGCCGTAGGTGGCTGAAGAAATTATCTCCTTTTATTTTAAATACACCTCTCTCTAGCTGCACCTTCCAACCCCATTTCACCTCTGTTCAACGCCTTCTCCTCGGTTTTTCCAAGCAGTGAGGCAGATGTTGGTATCTCTGTGGTATCTTTTTGGAGGTCTTTGGCTCTGAGAGGCCCATTTCATCACCAGTCTGGAGTGTCAGTCTCATCTCCTAGACTCTTCTTTCCCAGATGACCAAGGATGTGGCCACCATGCCTTGAAAGGTACTTTGAAGGTGACATGTTGTCTTCTGGGTCTGTAACTAGACACCAGCCTGACAGTGCTAAATTAATTCAGCTCAGTACATTTCAATCAGGAGACTACCCTGCTATAAAAAGATAATGGTGGTTGTCAGGGAGCTAGCAATCGAGTGGGGACACAGTGACATGGGAGAACTTCAGGGAGAGCCTGGATCTGCTCCGTCTGGAGTGGCAGGTGGCATTTGTCAGGTAGCTCAGTCTGCTGCGATGAATCAGGCATGTAGTAAGCTCTCTCTACTGCTCCCCGTGTCTCTCCCAGACATTAAATCCCTCCCTATAAAGCTCGAGACCCCATGCTCCCACAGGTGAAGTCTGCTTGAAGTTCCATAGGTTGAAATGATTAGATACTTTGCCTGTAATGGAAGTTCAGGGACCTCTCCCCTTTGCGACTGGACTTTATACTTAACTGTTCACCTCCTAAGTTATCATGCCAACCCCCTGCACCCCAAATTTGTCATTGTGTCTTACAAAAATCAGTTATGTTAATGGGTAGCTCTCTTATCACACCTTGACATTTGTCTTGGTTATCTCCCTACATGGACTCCAGCAGCCTGACTGCCCCAAGGACAGACTCCCCAAAACTCCCTCCTGCATACAGTATAATGTGTCATTTGCTCCCCAGAATGAGTTAGTCGTCAAGGCTGTATCTTTCAAGCTTGAGGGGATTCATCTATGATTTGTATTATTCAAAGTAACTCAATTAGTGGTCAGCTGAGGAGGAAAAATAAATTTTATTGTAAAGGGCCCTATGGACTGTCATAATTAGAAGTGAACCCCAAATGATAGGCAGAGTCGTCAATCTGTAAAAATTCTGGGGGGGCCCCCGATCATTGCCTTCTTGTCTTATCTTGGTTCTTACATGTTTAGAAACGTAAGCTCAGCATCTGGGCAGTCTGTCATGTTCACTCAAATGCTAAACTCCACAAAGATTGGAACCCTAAAAATGTAGTGATAAGGGAATATGTCAATTTCTTTTTACCTAGAACATTCAATCCAGTGATGGTTTATAAGCTTGGCATTTTCTCTAGCGATCCCTGCCTTGAGACTCAGTGATGTTCCAGGATTTTATCCAATACTGCTTTTATACAAGTTCCCTTCTTGTGTGATTCATCCAGGCTTAACTAAGCTTGGGGCAGCTCTGGAAGACCATACAGTAGACTGACATTTTAGTAACCCCTAACACCTACCTATGCAGGTAAGCTTTGGGAGTTATCGAACAGAATGTACCCAGTAGCTAACCCATCAATTACGCCATCTACCATGTTGCATTTACTAACTGAATTTTGGGGGTGTAACTTTTATGAGAGTATTCTTGATGATTGTTGTGCTTCTATCAGTATCATTTACAGAAGATTTATCATGCTTATTATCTCATTTTAGGTCACCCGTCTCTTCAGAAGATCACGGTAAGAATCTGTCTTATTTATACTAATTCAGAATGAAAAGTTCAGCTCTGGTCCTTGCATTTCACTGTCAGAGGGGAGAATTACTTAAGGAAATGTTTCTAAGATGTTGGTCTTAGATTTTTTTGTTTGAAATGTCAAGCCCCTTTAAAACTGAATTCACCTGATCTAAATTTGATATGTTATCTTCAAATGTGTTACAGCCATTTTGATTGACAAACATCACAAAGCTAAATGTCCTCTGCGTAATTGCTGTCTCATCATAGTAGCCACGTTTTGTGGCTTTGGGCAGACTAGCCATATAAGCCTCTGAATCACCGATTTCTGTCTTTAAATGGGGGGGTTGGTAATAGGCTGTCCAAGAGCTGCATCCAGGCTGGACACTGAAATTTCCAAAGGTGTCTGAGCCTGAAGTGAGGCTGATTGATTGGTGGTTTGATACTTGGCCAGCTGGGTCATTTGTTTGCATGTAAAAGAGAACTATTTCAATTCAAATGATAAAATGTATAATTTCGTCATGTCAAAGTTTTGGAATTACTTATTCAATCTATCATTCAGAAATGCCCATTAAATGTCAACAATGGGTCAGTTGTGCAATTTAATGATGGTATGCAAATATGCCGTTAGCATGATAGGCAGACAGCGATGTGCCAGAATGTCTCCCCTTTTTATGTGCCTGGTGAGGGGGACATGGGGAGCCATGTGGAATGTGGCATGCCTCCGACAATGCAAAGCCAAAAGTCAGTAGCCTTGTCAAAGAGGAGTAACCCAGGACTGTGAGAACATTACTGGCATTCCCCTCCATGCAAGCCCACTTGAGACAAATATGCAATTATCCACGCAGCCAGCCAAGAAAAAACCAGGAAAACTGCTTTAAGCTGCCTTCTTCATTTCCTTGCTCCCACCTGGGCATTAAATCTCACCCCTGTGTTTTTTAAATTCCTTTTCAATTTCTCTTCCATCCCCAATACTGTAGGGCCGTCCCGTGTCTTACTTGAACTTTTGAAATTGGCTTATAGCTAGTAATTATACCTCCAGATTTCCTTCTAGTTCACTATACATAGACAGCACCAAACTGGTTGTTACATAGTAAAAGTCTACTCCCCTTGTCTGTTGGATGAGATCATTTAAAAACGCCAGTGCAATGCAGAAGAAAATTCCAGATGGAATTCTAACATTGTATTTTCATTTGGAGTAAAAAGTCCGAAATGATGGAATCTCTTGTTGCTTTTTGGCACCTTCTCGCTCCTATCCATGCTCTGTACTTTTCCTGACAGGAGGCTTCTCTGCCTTGTGCCATAAGACAGTGTATCTTGCAGTTTGAGACCCTATTGAATGCCTCTTCTTCTCTGAGAGCTGTCTTACTGTCTCACCCAGTTATCATCACAACACCTGTTTTCTTCATTCCAGAATTTCACACTCAAACTTGACAATTTATCTTCTCCTCCGCCACACCGTAAATTCTATACTTTAGATGCCCACCAATGGCAGGCATTCAAAAGATGTTTATTAAATGAATGAATGAAGGAATTGGAGAGGGAGCTTTAGACAGGATTGGTCTGTAGCTACATCATTAAAATTGGTTCTGAGACTGTGGTGAGTTTGTATTATACTTATAAGAAGAATAGGGCAAATTGTATTCAGTGAGAACCCGGCAATCAACCAGCTAATGATGACACATAGTGAAGACTCTTTGCTCCTTCGCGTTGCTGTGACTAGGTTTTGTATTGTATAATTCGATGTTCTTGTGCTGAGTTCAAATGATAAACTGGAAACTTGTGTTTTGTTTTGGTTTTGAGCTAGCATTCCCTTTAGTGACCATGGCTTAATCCTTTGTAAAGGTGAGACTTTTGAGTTGCAATCCTATAGTCCAGTAGGAAATTTTAAAGGGTTGTGGAAACTGTCAGTGGACATAAGTTGGTATCCTTTGGACTCCTAAAGGTGACAGTCTTTAGAAAGACGTGCCCAGTATTAACACCTTAGAAATGATTATTCTAAGAACTGATACGTGTGAGTAGATGAAGAAACAGCAACCAAATCAGAAATCTTTTACCTTATCATGACTTAAAAAAATTACATGTCTATTCCTCTTATTTTGATTCCATTACTTATTTTGATTCTACATATAATTTATATAGAATATAAATTATAATTCTTATTCACCTGATCTTATCTAACTTTCATCATCTTCAGCGCATGTATCCTTGGAAAAAAATATTCTTATAAAACTAAGACTTTCTACCTGACACTCATAATGTTTTCTTGGGTCTGTACATTTTGAGGCTTCATATTTACTGTGGTTATCGCATAAAACTCAAATATCGGGTCACAGGCTTATAGGTGTGCTCAGTAATGACACTGAAGTGTAGCTGTCAGAAGGGTCAGAAGTAGCGTTTTTACTTTCTCGAAAGTCCTGGTGACGCAGCACAGCGCAGAGGGCCGATGGATCTTGAAGCTGGAAGGCCTGCGCTCTTGCTTTTCCGTTTCGTTTTCTATTTTACTTCCCTCACTTTGCTCACTGGGTATCCAAAATGGACTTCATTCTGGGAAAAGCCCAGTCACCCTGGCATTCTCAGCCTCACCGGTTTCCCTTTCATAGAAAATAGACTGGAAGATGTGGCTCTGTCATTCACCCTCTCAAGTTCGGTTACTTTCTCTGTAAAACGGGCTCTCTACACCCCCCACCCCCACCCCGTGGGATTGTTGTGCATCAGCCAGAAACCACCTGTGAGATCTCTTTCCAGTCTAAAAGTTGAAAGTTTCCAAAGGAACCTCTGCCATTGCCCACCCAGGAAGCAGGAGGAGTGTGGGTTCCCCGAGCATTGGGGACCCCAAACCCCCTGCCTTTGAAAAAGCTCCTAGATGCAGGCTGGAGAGGAGCCTTGCGCCTTCCCCATTATTATTAAATATTAAATTTTCATCAGAAACCTTTTTATATCTGAGTGAGGAGGAGGAGAAAGGTCAGCACACAGATCAGCTTGTGGTTCCCTTCTAGCTGTGCCGTCACACAGAGTGGATGGCCCGAGCCCTACGGGCATGTGACTGCTCCTATTTAGGTAACAATATGGGAGCTGGCCCCTGCATGAAGGTTGAAAGAAATGGACGCCTGCTTCGCGCACTCCCACCACACTATTTCGCTTCCTCTTTCTCAACTAACACTGCCCAGTAGATGTGTTACCCTCAATTTGATAGTCAGGGAACCAGGCTCAGAGCTTGCAGTAACTCGCTTGCCATCACACAGCTAGTAAGAGATAGAACTAAGTTCCAGATGATGCTAACCTGCAGCTCTTGCTCATTCACACATACCCCCAGGGAACAAAAGACACCACTGTCAGCATTAAGTCGAATGGATAGAATTAGAGAGAACAAATATTTTCCTCTAACAAGACTTTATTTACTACTGTGTAAGTAATTTCTTCTTAATGACAAAACAGAAGGGGAAAAAATAACAACTTCTCCCTCCTGCTGGGAATGATTTGTCCCTGTAGAAAAAAAAGTAAATACCAATGTCACATTCTCTCATAATTAGTTAAGTGAGTGAACCCCGAGCTTCAGGGAAACCCGCCATGCGAAGTCCCAGTGGAAACATTACATTTTACTGTTACATCTGGACGCCGGAGCCACTCCCTGTCAGGAGATAAGCCTGGCAGTGATGGATTGCCCGCCTGGCCTTTCCTCGGAGTCAGGCCCTGCCACTTCATCATTTCAGTTCTGGGGTGCCGGGAGCCTCGCCTGCGCGGAGCCGGGTTCTGCCATCTTAGCTGCTCCTTCGACGGCCTCCCGGGACAGCCTGGGCTGGCGCCTGGGTGACGCGGGCGCTCTGGCGGCCCCGTCCTCACCCGGACCCCGAGCACCCTCTTTGAGGCCGGTGCCAACAAGCTGGCCCCTGGGGCATCTGCAGGCGGCACAATCCCAGCTCCCCCATGGCGCTGGGGTTTTGTTGCCTCACCTTAACGCTGTGGACAAAGGCAGGAGCAGGTTGGGGCTCGCGGGTGAGCCCACGTGGGCTGCAGAGCGTTTCCAGTGCAGCTGACTGGGCAAGGAACGCGCAGGGGGAGGGTCAGGCGAGGCCATGGGGAGGCCAGGGGAGGTGGAGGAGGCCAGGGGAGGTCAGAGCTGGCAGACTGCAGGGCCTGCTGCTGGCTGACAACTTGCAGTTTTTCTCGCTGATGTAAATATATGGATTATATGTAATTTTCCTGGAAAGGGAGATAATAGATACTATTCAGTAAAGTGTATGCAAAGTGTTGCCTCAGTTTAAATAATAACAGAAGGAGCTGCTACAAATGTCGCTCCCCCCTTCTCGCCCCCCCAAGAGAAATAGAGAAATACATAGCATCTGTAGTCACCACAAGCCCCTGGCTGGCCTCTCCGTCCTTCAGAGAGAACCGCTGTTTTTGCTCCTTTGTGAAGATTTTCCTTGTGCCGGCCTCTCCTTTTCCCTGCTCAGGGCCTGTTCTCCCGCCTGTGGGCCTCTCTGTCTTTCTTTTCATGTCTGTTAACAAACAGAATAAATGTTTAAGTCTGACCTTTTATTTACCTGGTTATCAACACCGTTTGTTCTCTGCCACCATAAAAATCTCCAAGATTAAAAACTAGTTCTGCACATTAGTGACTTTAACAAGCCGGTGTCTGTGCATCTGTTCTCACTGAAGTGTCAACCATGCCGCCTGGGGCTGGAGGGAGCCGACCCCCAGCCGGCCGCAGGCCTCTGCCATTGCCCTGGCTCCCAGGTAACTTACTGGTGTCTGACATAACAGAATGCTTCAGAGTCATCTTCCGTGTTTCTTGCTCAGGACGTCATTTCTCTAGCTTCCTTTATTGAAAAGTACGTTTTAGTTCCAGAATGTGTGCACGAGGGTCTAGGCCCCTGTCCCTGGCCCTGCCTGCTGATCACAGCTGAGCTGGACAGATGCACACACACGTGTGCAAGTGGTAGCTTGCTTCCTCACCTCCCTGCTCCAGTCCTGTCCTCACTCTCCCAGGCCCTTCCTTTACTCTGG